CATGCCCTCTCACTTCCACCCCCTTCCCAATCCTGTCCCCTCCTCAATCTCTATCCCAATCCCAATCAAAATCCCCAAATGGATTCCATCCCCCTCCCATTCCCTCCTCCTTAACCCCCTCCCCACCCTCAGATCCCCCCAAATCCCACCGGATCTCGTCCTTTCCAAGCACTGGGAGCCAAACACCTCCTTCACCCCAAATCCTGTCGCTTTCCCACCACTTTCCCTTCCCTCCCCCACCCTTTGGAAACCCCAAATCCCAAGGTTCCCTCCTGGGAATCAGCACTTCGGGAACACACCCCAAATCCTGCAGCCACCTCGGGGTGTTGGGGGTTCCCTCCACAGGGTCACCCCCCACCTTCCCCCCTGCACTGCCAAAAATCCTCGGTTTAGGGTTTTTTTCCGCCCCATTTTTAGTTTTTAGGGGAGTATTTTCCATCCCAGTCTCCGATTTATTTTCATTTGGGGCCGGGTTCCTCCCCCTTTCTCTCGAAAAACGCCGGATCAGACCCATCGGGCAGAGATGGGAGAGACTTTAATTTTAAAGAATTCCAATCTATGTATAAAAAAAGTGAATTTTTTTCTTTTTTTCTTTTTTTTTTTATCCCAACTTCCCAAACTGAGCCCAGAAACCACGGGGGGAAGGGTCGTAAGGTGGAGGCCGAGACGCTGCTTGTTTTTTCCCAGCAAGTTTTGGGATTTTCCTGACATTGTTTTCCAGCTCTCCGGGCCGGATCCCGCCCGGCCCTGAACCGCCCATGGGAAATGCTCCATTTTAGGGGGGTTTCCCCCCTTTTTGGAGGGTCTGGTTTTTAATCCCCTCCACCCTCACCCCTCTGTCAGCCTTTTTTGGGGGCTCCCAGCAGGACCCGGCCCCGGAGCGTCAGCCGAACGCTCGGCATGGGAAAAATCCCCCAAACCTCTCGGTTTTCCCATTTTTTTAGCTTTTCTCCCCTCTATTTAAACTTTCCCCTCCTATATTTTAGTCCCCGACCTCATTTTAGCTTCCTCCCCCCCCATTTTTAACTTCTCCCCCACCTTTTCAAACCCCCTCCCTCTTATTTCAACTATTTCCCTCT